CATACAAAAGCTGGGGCCGCCAGAGGAGAAACCCCATTCTCTCCCCCTCTGTCCTTATCCCCCCACCTCCATAACCTCCCTCGCTTTGGATGCTGGGTATGGGTTCCAGGACCTGGCTGCCATCACCTAGGCAACAGGGGGCTTTGGTTGCCATGGTGATCAATGTGGGAGAAGCTGGGCAGCCGGGACAAAAGCCCCCACATTCCCCCCAACCCTCCTCCAATCCCCATGGGATGATACTGAGACACATTCCATTAATTTTATTTCTGAAAGGCCTTTGGAGGGGAGAAGGGTCTCCTTTTTGTGAGGGGCTCTCTCTTCCCCCCCTCTCTCCTCTCTGGCCTCCTTTTAACCCCAGATGATCCATGATTGGTTTGAGCAGGGGACTGAGTGTGTGTGTGTGTGTGTGTGTGTGTGTATGTATGTGTGTTTGTGTCTTGGGGAGTGGGGGGCAAGGTGAAAAGCAGTGGGACACATTCCTTTATTTCAGCCTTCCCCTGCCCCCAGACCGCGGCAGCTCCCTGCCCTACACCAAGTCAGGACTTCCCACCTGGCCTGTCCCTCTGACATTTCCACTTGTTGATCTCATCCAAGGATCCCCTCCCCCTACTCTCTTCCCTGGGAACGATGCCCACCCAGAAGACTCTCCAAACCCCTGATTGCTGAGATTGATTAAATAGGGGAACTTCTGCCCTTCCCTTTTCTCACCGCCCCCTCCTGTCCAGCCTCTCCTGGATAGATTAGTTTCCTGGGGTCCTTGAAGGGACAGCAGGGAGATTCTCAGGAGTGGGGTTTGTTTTTTGGCCCCCGGGTTTGGTAAAGGAGGGAGGAGCACATCATGGTGCCTTCAGGGTACTCTGACTTGGGTTGGCAGGCCAGGGGCAGGGTTTATGTTGGACCTTTAATAAACAGCTAAGGAGGAAGGTAGAGGGCTCTAGGCGGGGGTTCTAGGCAGAGGCTCTAGGCTGTAGATCAGAACAAAGGGTTGGGAGGGGACTGGCATCCTTGTCTGGTTTGAGATTTATCTGTAGGGGAAACACAATGGCATCAGCTTACCTGCTGGGTGTGTTTGAAGTGGCGGTTCTTTTCGGGGGTGTGCCTGTGTGTGTGTGTAAGACTTCTTTATTTAGTCCTACAAATGGCAGGGTTTATTTATACCACCTTTTCCCCTAGACTCAGAGGAAGTGTTTGGGGATTGGAGCATGAGTGATCCTGGAGCTAGAGCTTATTAATTGCTTAACTATAATTGCTAGTTGAACAGCTTATAAAAGCACTTCTTTTGTCCCTGTGATGCTTCCAGCAACCCCATGAAGTAGATATCCTTATCTTCCCTATTTTACCAAGGAGCCTATGAGGTTATAAGCACAGAGATATCAAGTAAGTTGCCCAAGGTCACACAGCTAGTCAGTGGGGAAGTTAGATTTTGAACCTAGATCTCTGAGCACAAATCTCAGGCTCTTTTTGCTGTTGGCTGGGGTAGATGTGGGTGAGGAGATGGAGAGCCTGGGTTCTTTTTGTCTGTGTCTGGACTCTAGTCTGTGGCAGTTCATTTCCCCTTTACTTCTCCAGAACTCTCACTCTGTAACCTACTTGCTATCTTTGAGCCTCCTGGAAAAATTCAGTTTTTAAGAGGAGGACTTGAAAGAATATGCTGGGCTCGGCGCCTATAGCTCAACCGGCTAAGGCGCCAGCCACGTACACCTAAGGTGGCGGGTTCGAATCCCCAGCCCG